TGAACTGGTTTGAATCACCTGAAACGCAAGAAAATGGCTGTAATCCCGATAAAATCAATCCGGCTGAAGAAAATGCACAGTATGTGGTATGTAGATGCAAATGCAAATGAAACGAAACATAAGCCAACTTGTGAGAAACGGTTGGTCAAATTTTGGGGTACAACAGTCCAACCTTTGGTTAAACTAGGTTAGTCTTAACTGGTCAAAGGAAGCGAAAACGCTTTGTCCAGTTAAGTAGGAGTTTTTAATACTTTAGAAAAACGATTTTAAAACTATTTTCGGACACGTTTGTGGGTTTTAAGTACGATTCGCATGAACCTCTTTTCGTTAAAAAGTTCCAAGTCAAAATACTTTTCAACTGAGTCAAGAAACTATATTTCTTAAAAATAGGTTTATTACTTTAACGCAATGCGCGCCTTTTTATAAGTGACAATAAGAGGGTTCAATTAAGGGATAAACTCGGTTCTGAATACGCGAAAGCGACAGTTCCCGTTAAATTAGTTCTTTTCATAAGTAGAAAACATTACCCCATCAGAAGTTCTATTTACAAGCATTTGGAATACTACCCAGCTGTGTGAATTACATTCAAGCCTGTTGTTTTAAAATGAATTTTATATCTTCGTACTTTACTTTTACATTGCACTCATGAACTCCCGATTGATTTGTCTTAGATAAACATCGTAACAATAGAAATCGATAGATTGACGTTTGGTCTCTGTGGGATCAATAATCTTTTATATTACTCTGACGCGATTCGTATACTTGCGAAGATACTGCATCATACCTCATTATTTTTTAATAGACCAAAATAAAAAACACGTTAACTTACAGGGAAGAAAAAACTATTTAAGCGTTACTATTATCATTGACGAATTGCCCCATAGTTTGAAAGTTTTTGAAAATTTTGCTTCACCATAAGACAAAAGAATTTTTAATTGAGAGTCAGATTATTCGCCTTCGAGTTGAAGAAGAATCTAAGAGAAAAGATTAAAAATAAAATGCTTGGTTGTTTCAAATAACAAAAATAAATTTGGTGTATATCTGAAGTCATTTGGAAAATGATTAAAGAATCAGAACCAAATGGCTAAGAACCAAATTAAGAATGGGAATCCCTATAGGGTCCCATATGCTCTAATTACTAGGAAGAAATCACCACCTCAAATAAATGACGCTCATGTGTTCATCTGTTTTTTGTGTGTGAAAAACCCAGTTATATGGCTAAGAGATGTAAGAGCATGTCTAAACTTGCAGTTGGCTCTAATGCTCAGGTTAACCTGACTGATCAGGTTTTTTTGTTATGAGAACTGAAATCAACATGGTTGGTGGATAGACACCGGTGTCTCTCGTCACGTCTGCTATGATTGTGCTATGTTCAAAACATAAATTTTCAAAATAAGAAAGTTTCTTTAAGAGTTGCCCACACCATTAAAGTTGTCGGTATTAGAGAAATGGAACCGAGTCCACTTCTAAAAAGACTTTAACCTTGAAAAGGATGTTATGCATACTTGAGAGATTATAAAGAATCTTGTTTCTGGTTTTCTTCTAAAAAATCATGGTTTAGTCAGTCTATTGGGGTATATTTGTACACAATCACTAAAATGATACTTTTTGTGAAATTGATATGTTTAATACTTTTGTGAATGAAATTGCAATTTAATTTAGTAGCAAGATTAAGAGACCTCGTAGTGATAAGTGAACTGAATATGATTTCAATTTATTTAATGAATTTTATAAACAAAATTGAATTGTACATGTAAGAATTGTACCACATTCTTCTGAAATGAATGATAAAGCATATTGAAAGAATAAAACTCTTACTGAACTAGTTGTTGTTATTGCAATGAATTCTGGTGCTGCATCTCACTAGTGAGAGAAATTTTATTGAATGTTTACTATGTCCTGAATCGAGTTACCAAGTCAAAAAGTAAGACCTCTCCTTATGATATTTAAAGAAAAGACAACCAAACTTGTTTTATTTAAAGAACTTAGGGCCTATTTGGCTTATGTCAAAATTCTGAATTTGAAGCGAATTAAACTCCCTAGTAGAACCTACGAATGTGTATTCACTGGGTATGCAACAAACAAGAAGGAATATAGGTTTTATGACCTAAATGCTAAAGTGATCATAGAATAAAATGATGCTGAATGCTATGAAGACAATTTCCTTTCAAATCGAGAAATAGTGAGGGCACTATATCGAGTGACATTCCTGTGATAAGAAACACCTAAAGCAATGACGAAGTAGAAACATGACTTTGAAGAATTAAAAAAGTAATAGTTGCTAAAGACTATGGGCCTGATTATATGACTTATAATGTAGAAGAAGATCCAATAAATCTTTAAGAAGCCTTGCATCTCTGGATGCAAATTTCTGGCAAGAAGCTATTAATGATGAGATTGATTCTCTAGAATCTAACAAGACCTGACACTTATTAGACTTGCCTTCTGGTTGCAATATAGTAGGTTGTAATTTGGTTTTGAAAAAGAAAATAAAACTTGATGGAACAATTGATAAGTACAAGGCTCACCTTGTATCCAAAAGTTTTAGGCAAAGAGAGAATATAGATTTCTTCGATAGTCACTCGAATTACATTCATTAGGGTACTAATTCCAATAGCCGCTATTTATAAATTAACAGTACACCAAATAGATGTTAAAACAAACTCTAAAGCAATGGCATGAGATTTTTGATAACTTAATGATACCGAATGAGTACAAAGTGAATGAAAGTGACCAATGCGCTTATTAAAAATATGAGAATCACATTTGCACTGTCATATGTTTCTTCGAAGATGATCTACTCATATTTGGATCACACGTTCAGGCCGTTAATGATATGAAATCATTGTTTTGCAACAACTTTAATATGAAATACCTCAGAGAAGCGAGCATGATTCTTGGTATCAAGATCACGAGATATGAGCAAGGTATTTTTTTGGATCAATCACACTATGCGAAAAAGATCTTAAAGAAATATAATTACTTTGATTGTAAACTTGCGAGCCACCATACAATCCAAGCGCGAAACCATTTAAGAACATTGGTGAAAGTCTCAGACAAACTGAATACACGAGCATCATTAGCAGTCTTAGGCATACCACTGATTGTACTAGACCCGACATTGCATATGTCGTCAGATTGTTGTGTTGGTTTACTAGTAGACTGAGTAATGAGCATTGTAAAGCTATTGACCAAGTCATGCAGTACCTTAAAAGGACCATGAATCTCAGTTTACATTATCATAAACTTTGTACTGTACTTGAAGGATACATGAATGTAGATTGGAATACCTTATCAGATGTTCCAAAGAAACCAGTGGCTATATATTTAGTATAGCTGGAGGAGTTGTATCTCGGAAATCAAAGAAACTGACTATCTCGGAAAACGGTTAAGAGGAGAATGAGAAGACAAAAGGAGAACGAAAAAGAAAGACGTAAAAATAAAATATTCTCCATCTTGAACACCTTCAAATATTTTTCATCTTGAACACCTTCATATATTCTTCATCCAAACTCATAGAATCAAAAAGTATAAACTGAACTTTAAACATCAAAAGGCATAAATTGACGGAAAAAAAGTATAAAAAATATTAATGTGGTTAATCAAAGAAGAAGAAAAACACAACTCTGACCAATGAAAACACAACTCTCAAATTAGTATCGAGAAAGAGTGGATAGTAGAGATCTTACTTTGTCGGTTAGATCAACCGCTAAAATTGAGTTCCAAAGTATGAAACCCTAAAATCTCCACATATAAAAAAATGTCGATAAACAATATGCACATATAAACAACATCAAAAATTAACAATAACAACTTTTTCATGAAATACCAAACAACATTCATAATGGAAAGTCTCTAAATCCACAAAATACAAAACATATTAACAGAGTAAATCGAAAAAAAGTAGAAGGTTGAAATCAATCTTGTTTTAGAATACTCACCAGCGGCCGCCGTGAACGAAAACCAAAGAAGAGTCCATCACCGAAAAACACAAGGATCGTCATTTGTGTTTCAGCTCCAACCACCATCTCTCCACGAAAACGCAAATCTGCCACCGAAATGCAAAAAGATAATAGATTTAGAGACAAAATGATGAAGAAAGTTTAAAGAATGAAAATGAAATACAATTTTGAGTTCTGAGCAAATAGAGAAAAAGATGAAGAAAGTTGAGAGTGTTAGATGCAACATGTTCAGAGAGATAAGATAGAAATAAGATAGAAGAAATAGAAATAATAATACAAAATACGTATAAGCATAAGAAGGCCGTGTGAAAAATTGAGTGTTGACGTGACGAGTTTTGTATAGAGAAAAATTTCCATAACCCATTCCTTTTTCTTATATAGATAACTTCAATTCTACATCAGACTTGCATCTCAAATTGAAGTTCACATGAATCCTACTAAATTATGCAGATCCTCTAAAACAGTTTTGACGAGTTTTATGTAAATTTTAACTAGTTGAAATGTATTTAAGATATTGTATTGCTAACAATTTTAGTATAATTCACATATTAGAGCATGTCGGTTGTTTTGTTTTTTGCGTATAAACTATATCAAAAGATGCTCAATTCAAGATACAATTTTTAAACAACTCCAATAACAAAATCATTGCAAATAAATTCAGTAAAAGTTATTGAGTTCAGTTTTGTACCAACTAATATATTTAAGTTCTATTCCTTTTAAACTTCAAAACAAAGCCTTGCTATGATGCTATCATATAAACTGATACAAGTTCCACAAGAACAAACATTGTTACAACAACTATAGTATATCCTTACAAAATGCAAACAAATAAAACAAAAAACTCCTTCCCTCCCAACTTGATTACAAACCAGTTTCTCAAAAGAACAAACATTGTTACAACAACTATAGTATATCCTTACAAAATGCAAACAAATAAAACAAAAAACTCCTTCCCTCCCAACTTGATTACAAACCAGTTTCTCAAAAGGCACAATCTCTCATTTTTATTCCTTCAACCAAATAATGAGCTACACCAATTCAAGAAGATATCTTACTTTTCGAAACGACGTCGAAAGATATTCCATTTTGTTGAAGTCTTTCTTGCAAATCAGTTGAACCGAACACAATGCCGGGACTGTAAACTCCTCCCTTTGGTAGATTATTCCTTTGGCTAAGAACAATAAGAGCACACTGAATCATAATTATTGGAGTAGTTACATAACCCAATTCGGGTCCGGTTATTCTCGTTATAACTTCCATGTCGGGTTTTGAGTTTCCGTTTGCAGCAAGTTTCTCATTGCTGCTAAAACCGTGTCCAACAAACCACATCTTGAATGAACAACTTTCGATTTCCTCTTCAGAAGGACCGTTCTTGCTGAAACCACCTAAGCTAAAGATCGAAGGATATTTCAAAAGAAGCCGTCTTCCAAAACTGAAGCTTCCGAAAAGACCTAGGATTATGCCAAATGCGATGTACCCGAAAATGCCTAACAAAGTTTTTGAGCCTAACTTCACACCAAAATGTACCGGCTTCATAGATGACCAGAAGACTTTCTTTTTCTCAATCGTTTCGAGACTCTCGTTCAATCCTGGGAGACCGTTAGGGTTTTCTGTTAGAACCGAAAATGTTTTTCCTACAGAAGTTGCATCTGCTGAAGGTAGCGTTATTCCCCATAGGCCAATTTTCTTCTGGTGTTCTATTGTTTTTCCTTTAGGAAGAGGACCTGGAATCTACAAACATGCATGATTAATTAAGATTGGTGAAATTTCAGAGTAGATGAAATGTTAAAAGAAAAAGATAAACACAAGACCAACCGCACAAGGTTACATTAGTTAGTGCAAAACAAACTTGTCAATCACAGATCGCTGAACGTATCGGAAAAATGGTTTGTTCGAAGTATGCTATGATACAACCATCACCACCATAAGCATTATTTGACAACACTTTGTCCTAAATAGCGTATATCATATGCATTAAGTAAACCTCAGTTACTACCTATGAAACACGGACACGGCCTCCTCAACACAATACCGACATAGTTATTACCTATGAGACACCAAATTCAATTAAGTAAACCTTGGTTACTATTTATGAAACACCGACCCTGACACCTTAACACACATCGCTAATAATAAGTGATAGAAAGTACTCAACACGCCTTCAATCAGAAATGTCAGTGCTACATCGATCACTACTCTAAGTGTGTTATTGTGATATAATATTAATTTCATACCACAGGTTTTGCTCTTTTGATTGCTTGTGCATCCCTTCTTTGTTTCATCTCCTTCAAATCAGCAATAGCCAAAACAGCAGATTCAAATGTACCAAAATTACCAACAACCTTTCTCTCCGACTCAACTTTCAAAAAAGCCTCAACCCTATTCGGCAAACACTCACCAGCCCACTGTTTCAAATGAAACAACAAACCAATCTCAGCAGGAACACAGTCAAACCCACAAGCTGGAACAATCAAAGAACCATTCTTTACACCTTTTTCATGATACCCAATTTCGACCCGATCCATAAACTCACCCTCGCCCGTTATATCCAAGTAATCACAACCCGTTTCGACGCATGCCGCCACGACGGGCTCGCCGTGGAGGCGGAAGGGGCCGACGCAGTTGAGTATGAGACGGGTTTGTTGGCAGAGTGAACGGAGGGAAAGTGGGTCGGTTGTGTCGGCGACGAGAATTGGAATTGAAGGTGGTGGATCGGGTCGGGTTGCCCAGTTAAGGGTTTGGGTTAATTTGGATGGGTTTCGACCAGCTATGGCTATGGAGTTGAAATTGTTTTTGTTGAGGAATTTGAGAGCTTGTTTGAGAACATGTTTGCCTGTGAACCCCGATGCTCCTAGGATTATGATGTCGAATGTTTCTGCTACTGCTGCCATCACCGTCTCTTCAAGTTTCTTGCTTCAGGGACAGTTTTGATTCATCTATGAATGCAAAAGTTTTGATACTTTTGATGAATGCAAAAGTTTTAGGTGTGACCGTCAAAGTTACTTTTTATTATATTTAAATTCAAGTGTTTTGTTTTATTTCTGATGATTATAGAGTTTTATCTGATAGATTTGTCGGTTGCAAACTTGTGTATCATTTTAGGTTTAACGCTTGTTAATCCTTCGTGATTTCGATTGCATCATGTGACATCAGAGTATTTTTTTTTCTATTTTTTTCGTAGCTTGATTAGCTATGGGAGATCAACCATTGACTAGAGCAAACCTTGAGGGAATTATCATGGTTTTTTCCATGACCCTAACTATTTTAACTGAATTGATGGTGATTTTAACAACTCAGGTGAACAACACGAACAATAACGAGAACCATCAAAAAGACAAGAGAATGGAATCGATTAAGGTTCCACGGGGTGGAAACAATCACGTTGTTATTGCTGGAAATTTGAGTTTTGAAGAAGAACCCGACGAAGAAGAGATAATTGATCATGGGAATCGACATAGACATGATTATCGAGTGAAGACTGATATTCCATTATTTTATGGAACGATGGGAGTCGAGAAGTTTCTAGATTGGCAGATCGACGTTAACAGATTATTTGACGTCATAGGCATTCATGAGAACAAACAAGTTAAGATGGTGGCAACTAGGCTAAAAAATATTGTTGTTGCCTGGTGGAATAAGCTTGTTATTCAGAGGCGAAGGCAAAGAGGACTAGCAACCCTAGCAGTGTGCAGCAGGGTAAAACACCAGTCCAGAGGTAGAATAATCCATATGCTAAATCCACGGGAGGTACGTGTTATCTTTGTAATGGAAGAAGTCACATATTAAATGTTTGTCCAACAAGAAGAGTCAATAATGTTGCGGAAGAAAGGGAAAAGGAAGAGGAAAGAGAAGGGCGTGCAATTGAGAACAATGAATATGCAGGGGTTCAGTTTGCAGAGGAACAATTTAATGAGAGGGTAAATTTGGTGTTCCAGAGAATTTTACTAGCATCCTAAGATGAAGGGCAACACAAGAATTTGTTAAAAACACATTGATCTATTAAGAACAAGGTGCGTAATTTGATTGTGGATAATGGAAGCATGGAGATTGTGGTGTCCTATAAATTGATAGATTATTTGAAGTTGTCCATAAAAGCTCATGAGAAGTCATACACCCTCGATTGGGTAAGCAAAGACTTCCAAGTTCGAGTAACACTAGTCTACATAGTTCTTATCTCCATCAAAAAACATTACAGAGAAGAGGTACTTTGTGATGTTCTTGATATGGATGTTTGTCATATTTTACTTGGTATTCCTTGGGAGTTTTATGATGATATCACTTATAGGGGACGAGATAACGTGATGATGTTTACATGGGGCACACATAAATTTTCTATGGCTCTTATTTTGAACTTTGATAAGAATCCAAGAGGAAAGAAGTCTATTTTCTTGGTGATGAAGCAGGGTGAAAATGTGCTTGATAAGGTTGTTAACGAAACTGAATTTTTCTGTCCAGTGGTGATTAAAGAGCTTATGAGTGTTGTAAATGAGGAAACAACAATTCTAGAAGAAGTTCTAGGGATCCCAGAGGATTTCAAGGAGTTGACCGCAGATGAACTACCAAATGATTTTGCCTCATATGCGAGATAAATGCAGGAAATTTAAAATTTTCAATGTGGGAGACAATGTGATGGTGTTTATTCGTAAGAAGAGGTTTCTATTGGGTACTTATAGTAAGCTGCAATCATGCAAGTATGACCCGTTCAAAGTGACCCGAAGGATAAATGATAATGCTTATAAGGTAACTCTCCTGAATTCCATGAATATATCCAATATTTTCATTGTTGCTGACATTCACGAGTATCAAGCAAATGAGACTCTTTATCAATAAGAGAACTTGAGGTCGAGTTCGTCACAGGTGGAGGAGATTGATGTAGGAAGCCTGACTGCACGTATTCAAGAAGAAGTCGCACGTCAGAAAGGTTTGGCAGGAATTATGCAAGTTTGGCATCTGATATAAAAGTGACAATTATTAAACCTTTCCGAATAATGGATCAGCTCACGAGTCCAACTCACTGATTTTCCGTGACATATGGGCCTTTTAAGCTGTTCGAGTTTGTTTCAAACCCAAATATAACATTTTAATATTTTCTGCAATTTTCTATTTTATTTCTGTTTGGATTAAAAGTCCACTATGATTGCTTATTATGTAATTAAACACCTTTGGGTGTGGCAGTCAAAGTTATCTTTTATCATAATAAAATTCAAGAGTTTTTTTCTCTTTCTAGTTGATTCTGGAGCTTTATTTGACAAGTTTGTAGCCTGCAAACTTGTATTTCATTCTAGGTTTAAGGCTTGTTAATCTTTTGTGATTCTGATTGCGTCAATATATATATATATATATATATATATATATATATATATATATATATATATATATATATATATATATACACACACACACACACACATACACGTGTGTGTGTGTGCGCGTGTGCGTGTAAGTTATATGGTTTTCGGATTGACAACATTTTGGTAAAACATGCTGCCAGCAAGATACATGTTATACCAGAAAGTTAGGACATGATTATTTTGGTATTTTTAGTGTGAATTATGAATGTGTTTTAATTCACATGTTTGCATTATCCAATGAGGGATATTGTGGGAACTTCTGTTTTGACATATTATGTTGGTTTTTGTAAAAAGGATCCTTGAGCCTTTTTAGGAAGCTTTGTATTTTGTTCCTATTTTTGTGCAGGAAAGTATCTATTGATTGAAAGGTTGATTCCTGGTATTTTGCATTTTATTTTAAGAGTCCAAGCCCATGCAGCTGCGATTATTAATTAAAGGAGTCTCTAAAGCTAAAGAAAGCGTAGATTTTGGAGGAAATTAGGATTAACCCTGTCTTGGAGTCTCTTTGGTGTTTATCGTGTTTTTCTTTGTATATCACTCTTGTATCATGTTTGATCCATTGAGTTGACTGATTGTTCATTGTTAATTATTTACTATAAAGCTTTTAAGCAAGCGTGTATTGTTTTTGGTTGAAGCTTTTAAACAAAACCAAGTATTGTACTTGGAAGGGTTTGTACTTCTATTTTGGGTAGTTGTTGAATTGTCATTGGGATTGTGACTGATTAGGAAGCGAGAGGGGGATCTCATATCTAGAGGGTGTCTAGGTAGAAGTTGCACAAGGTAGTGATTAGGCGAGGAGTTGTAAACGGAGGAGTTTAGCTTTGAACTAATACTATCATAGTGAATTTCCTTCCTGTCTTGGTAGCCCCCAGATGTAGGTGAGTTGCACAGAACTGGATTAACAACTACTGGTGAATGTATATATATATATATATGCACACACACATTCACCATATATATATATATATATATATATATATATATATATATATATATATATATATATATATATATATATATATATATATATATATATATATATATATATATATATATATATATATATATATATATATATATATATATATATATATATATATATATATATATATATATATATATATATATATATATATATATATATATATATATATATATATATATATATATATATATATATATATATATATATATATATATATATATATATATATATATATATATATATATATATATATATATATATATATATATATATATATATATATATATATATATATATATATAAGTTCACATTCACATTCACCGTATGCACACACACACACACACACACACACACACACTTTTTCTAATCTAAACTCTTTTGCTAATCTTAATCCTTCTAACACACCCCAAAGTTCAGCAATATATGCTCTACAAGAATTCAACTATCTTGCAAAGCCTCCAAGCCACTTGTCCGTACAACCTCGTAAAAGACCACCACATTCAGCTATCAAGCCATTTTTACTAGTTTCACCTGTGTTCAATCTCATTCATCATATAGAAGGAGGAGACTACCTTATTTTCTTAGCCTCTAGAGTCAACTCCATATTACTACCATGTAGCTCAACGACCCAAAAATACCTACAAGCAACTATAGTAAGATGTCACCATGAAATTCTAGGTCTCAAAAAAATCTCATCATGTTAATTAACATTATCTAGCACGCAATGCATTTGAACCCCTGTAGCTTGACCAAACAATAAAAGGTCATCTGTGAACATCAATTTAGATATGAAATGACTATTTCTATCCACCTTCATAGTTTTTCAAAAGCCATGCTCCACACTATGATAAATAATATGAGACAATTTATACTTACTAACAACAAACAGATACAAAGAAATTGAGTCTCCTTGTTTGATACTGTCATACCCCAAATTTTGACCCCTAGATCACTTCACCATTCTAGGAGCATCAACTTTGATTATCTAACCTTAACCTATTTCCAGTTTGATCTTTGTCAAGATACAAATGAATTAGGTTTTCATACAGTCAGAAATCAAGGTTTCTTGTAGGATGATCAATTAAGGTTTTGGGTTTATCTTCTATAAATAAAGCCTTCATATCATCAAGGGGTACACATCCAATCAAGAACAAGTGCTATTTGAGGTTGTTACCCAAAGAAGAAGAGCAGTGCAGTGCAAGAACCCTAATTAGGGTTTCTAGTTGAAAATATCAACGGAAGTTTGAATTTTGGTTTAATTGGTTCTCCATAGCTTGAATCATGGTCCAAGATACCTCTATGACTTATTGAAATCCCCTCAAGAAGCTTCAAAGGCTCAAAGAACCCAGAACACTTAGAATCGATCCTAAAAATTTCAGCTGTTCGGTTCGTCTATCCGGAAGGTCAACTCTTTGACTTTTAGGGTTTTGACCCCAAAATAAAACAAACAAGTCTTCCAACATAATTTTATTCCTAACTAGTGAGGGTGAAGATTTAATCAAAGATTGATGGATAACTTGGAAACCAAGAAACTAGGGTTCATGAAAAACCCTAA